GCTTTGGTTGGACTGCTGTTGATTAAACACCAAAGCAAAATGAAACCTTTGATAAATTATAGAAGCCATTAATTACAAGTACCATACACATTTTAATTTCTTGTGAAAGTTTGAAGTTCTATGCTGCTCCCTTCTCTGGTTTTCAATGTCACCACTTTAGGGATAGTTAAATTGATACAAGGATTAGTGTGTGAGGAAAGGAAAGATGTAATTATAAGCACAGGATTTTTTTTGTAGAAGAGTAAAAAAAAATATGCAGACATGCTCTTCAGTACAACTGCAAGTGGAATTTGAGTGTGCTTGTTTGCATTTTTAAACATTTGGCCTATAGTGTCAAGGATTTAATTATTGTGTTAGATTAGGCGATTTCATTTTCCTAAACTGTCAGTAGTTGAAGAATTTCTTTCTGACCTATAAATTACTGATGTTAATCTATTTTGAGATTGGTAAAAGGCAGAGCGTGCTAGAGAGTGTCTAATTTGCAACTGTGCAGAACCCTCTCCCCTTGTATTGACAATCACAACTTCCTTACTTTTTTTCAACTGCTTACATGGAAAGGTAGCATAAGGAAATTGATTATGTATGTTTCTTTTTTTTAAATATGATTTTTCCAGCTAGTAGAAAGGAGGGAGAAAAAAACCAGAAGACACAGGACCAGTTACTTCTTCCAGATAATTGGGTATTGTAGGATATAGATCTTTCAGCTTCCCTCTTCAACTTTCTCTGGCTTTGTACAGAATTGCCTAAAACAAAATGGATTTGGGATTTTGTTTTTAAACGGGTTCTGCTATATGCAAACTAAGGATGTAAAAATGCAGATAGAAATGTAACTGTGTAACTGCTAAATATCATAGTGGTTATAGACACTGTGGACTCTGCAATATGAACAAGCTTTATACTGCAGAGCCCACAGCAGAAACTCCCTGGGAGCTGCACTAGCAGAAGCTGCTGTCAGCTCTGCTCCTGGGAAGGAGGCTTCATTGCAGGTTCTGCAGCTGGCTCCCAGGGTGCCGGCCACACTGTAACCTGCAGTGGAGGGAAGGTAAGGAGGGGATGGTGGCTGGGCCTAACTCAGACAGAGGCTGCTCTAGAGGACCCTTTGAGGCTGGAGCAGCCCCCTCCCTGAGGTGGGTAGGGAGCTGCTCCAGCTCCTACCGGTTAACCAGTTAACCTTTTATATTTCTAATACCAACTCTTTCTCCTAACTAGTTGACCATGCCAAGGCAGCCTGCATTGTAAGATTTTCCAGTTGTGTGTTATGAGGTGGGAAGTCATGGCATACTGAGTCTCTTTATTCTAGGCCTGACAGTGCAAATCATCGAATTTATCTTAAATAATAAGGGAGGAGATTTGGCCCCACATCCATTGAGAGAATTTCCCCTCCAAGTGCATAGCTGAGTCACCAGAGACATATGAGGATAAAAGAGAATATTATTTATAAATATTTTAAGTTGCTGTTCCACTATTTTATCATACAATTAAATCTGTTTTAAGCATCCATTCAAGATTTACAAAAACAGACATTTCCTTGGGAGTATTCTCCTAATGCAGGTGGCAAAGAATTGTACTACCTGTGGACTAGCTTTTGACATGACATAATCTGCCATGACTGAGTCTAGCAGTAGATCAGAGAGAATCTATATAAGACTTTCCCAGTCACAGTTTGTTCCGGGTTTCCCCATTGCTCCATAGGGAAATATTCTGTGCTGTCCCTTTACCAGGCATCATCCTCCACCTGAGCTCAGCTGAACTTGCTAGTGCATCAGGGAGGAGGCTGAGTCAACTTTACACATTTTCCCTAGCTGTGCCAGCCCATGTATGTATCGCCTGCCAGGGATCTCAGACTCTACATCTCCCCCTTACTCTTCTGCATAAATGCAAAGGGCAGATGATGAATTTGCCTTCATTTAGTGACATTTAGAGTGATCTCCTTTGACAGGAAGTTGCCTATGAAGAGTTAGATCTTGCACAGAACAAAATGTCAGCATTACAAGTCAAAATATACAAAGTAAAAAATCTTTAAAATCAAACCACGTAGCAAGTTATTATGCAACATTTTTCTTACTTTGCTTATTTGCAAATTTTGGTTATTGATGGAAATACTTTTTCATTTCTTTGTTTGTATATGGTGAAGTCTTACAATCTTACCAACATTTACTAATTAAAAAATGTATTCCTTTCAAACCTAGATGTACAGTATGCCAGATTTTATGCTTACATTTGGAAAATAATTAACAAGTTGATATAATAAATGAACAAATTCATAATTGCAGCAGAAATGGCTGCTTTTAGATTATTTTGTGTAAAATATATTGGACTATTTTCTGTCTCACAAGAGGGAAATATCCTTTTACTTGAGATCTGAAAATTAGCAGGTTCAGCCTACAGGTACTCAACTTATAATGAGGCCTTCTGGAGCAGTTGGTCCAGTGAATCGCTGCACACACCCTGTTTCTATTAATAAATTGTTTCAAATATATTATTATATTTTATTGGTTTAATCTGAAGTTTAGTCTTTGTGGCTGGAATTCGGTGCTCCATTGAAGTCAATGGGAAAACTGCCTTTGATTTCTCTGGGGCTAGGATTTTACCCCTTATTTCCTGTAGTCATACTCACTGGCACAATCTCAGTTACTAAATACACAAATGTGCTGCTGAGTGTAGAAGTGCTAAAAGTACCCCCAAATTTTATTCTTCTGTGTTTAAAGAGGTTTTGATCTATTTTAGTGGGAGCTTCGGAAGGAAGAGTAAGTCCTTGATCTTCAATGCATAATGGCTCTTCACCAGGAATGTGCATTTAACAAACAACTTTTCAGCATTGCATTTAGATCAAAAGGCACCCACCTCTGTTAGCAAGGATTCCTGCCAGCTCAATGGGGAGGCAGACAGTGTTTGTGCAGCCAGCCTTCTCCAAGGATTCACCCAAAGAAGGGCACCATTCATTTGCAATTGGAATCTGGTGGTGGATGCTGTTAAGGCAGCAATGAGCATCTTAGGCTAGTGAGTGGGTGGCATGAGTGACTCTCCATCTCAATGCGCTGCAAGACTGTTGTAACCAAGATGGTCTCCCAGGATGGGTAATTTTTCTCATTGCACTTGTGTGCCTAGAATTTGTGGGGTGTAGTGATTGAACCATAGCAATGCTTTGATAGGATGCAGAGGGTCAGCTCTCACAGTCAGTGTTGTGTGCAATCAGCATGCACCTCATTTCATGTGTGCTTGCTTTACATGTGTGTCACTTTAGTAACACTGGTAGGAAAAGAAACAAACCTGTGTGGATGGAAATCAGCAGGATCTGACAACCTATGCGTGGGCTAAGGGATTTTTAATGTAGTGCTTGGCAGTGCTTTTTTCTGTGTTTAAAAAAAAAAAAGGTACCGGTACTCATTTCTTGAGAAAAGTAAATTTGAAAAATGCCTCTCCCACCCTTCTTCCAATATCGTCTCAACATACGTAGGCACATAAGCGAAAAGCAAATTTTTCTTGCTCTTCCCGCAGAAGGAGTCAGTCAGGCTGGGGGCTGTGCCAGGGGAATGCGGCACGGCGCAAGTGCTCCCAGAGCCAGCTGGGGGCTGTGCCAGGGAATGCGGCATGGCGCAAGTGCTCCCAGAGCCAGCAGGGGGCTGTGCCGGGGGAAAGCGGTATGGCGCAAGTGCTCCCAAAAACGGTGCTGCTACGCCATACCGGTGCATACCGTTACAAAAAAGCACTGGTGCTTAGAAGATACAGTTAGGACTAAAGATGTAATAGGATAACCATTTAAACGGTTAACCAGTAAGTCTGAGCTTATTGGTGACTGTGAATGGTTACACGCAGGCTTCCGCCCCGCTCCTGAAGAGCCGGCTGCCACCCCACACTGCAGGCTCTGTAGCAGATAAAAGACAGCTTCAGGTACACCCCACACTGGGGATCTGGCTGTCACCCCGCACTGTGAACTCTGGAGTAGAAAGCTTATATTGCAGAGCTGCAGAAAAGCTGGCTGCCCTGGGAGCATGGCCGACACGAGCCATTCTGGTGCCCCGAGCAGACAGTTTAATTGCACCCCGGGTTGGGGGAGGGCGCATAGAGCTGGCAGCAGCAGGACACACATGCCCGGCCCGGCCCAGCCCAGCTACTGCCACTGGCGCGCAGCCCGGGGCTACCCGGCTGTGGTGGGGAGGGCGCTGCTGGCCAGTGCTATGGGGGTTAACGCGGCCCCCGCCCTGGGCTGCTGCGGCAGGGGGGCCACTGGGAGCTGCTGCAGCCCGCGATCCAGGAGCCAGACACGAGGGCAGCTATAAGGCGCGCTGTGCACCCCTTACAGCTGCCATCAGGCGCCCCCCATAGGGTGGCGCCCCAGGCAGCTGCCCGGCTAGCCCATGTCTTAATCCAGCCCTGCCTGGGAGTGGGGCCAGTCGGCTCTGTCGCAACTTGGTTCGGTGATGTGATGGGAGCCCCTAGGGGTTAACGCCGACTGCCCAGTGAAAACTACTGGATGATGGTGAAACAAATTATTTTTTATTAAACAGAATGGTTCTCTTATCAAAAATCAAGTGACTTTTAAATGAATTTTAAAACAAGCAATTGCTTAATGCTTTTACAGGAGGGGAAAACTGAACCAAACTGCACTTAACTAATTACAAACTTTGTGATTATAATTCGATTATATTAAATTACTATCTCTAATTCGCTTAAGGCAGTGCAGCATGCAAGCAAAAATTACAAAAACAAAGCCAATATAATGAAAATAAAAACTCTGTCCACAGCCAGCCCCTCTGTGGTTATTTTAGGGCAGCTGGTGGAGTTAGTCATTAATCTACCTCTACAACTTAATAACTCCTGGGTTTCTATTTCTAACATTTATGCTTGGCCTAAATACAACACCACTACACAACACAAGATTATACAATTTACACAGTGTGGTTAATAGAACTCAATTACACTTACAGAATTACACAGTGAAATTAACACAATTCAACTAACAACTAAACCAGCAACTAATATATTTAAGCAATACTTACAAATTCAGCAACGATAACAGCGTAAAGACACACGAGAACTCGGAGCATGCTCAGAACTCGCGCACCCCTATCTTTGACTCGAAGGGTAGGGAGGCAGCCTCAGAGTGATTAATCCTTCAGCCGGACAAAAAAGACAAGTGTCCTCAACACTCGGAACCTCACTGAACAAAGGGGTCGAGGGTCTTTTATAACATAACTTGATATCCGGTACCTTATTAGGGTCTGTTCCCTGGCTGGGCCTGATAGGCTGGTAATGAGGTAATGTGCAATATTGCCCTATAGGATTTTTCATGATGCCCGCCTGATGGCCCCGTGGACAGTGCCGGGTGCGGGCATGGTCAGTGTGCATGGCAGTTTCGTCTTATCTCCCAATGCCTACCTCCCTACCTTCAAGGACCGGTCAAGAGAGACTTATTTATCTCTTGCAGCTGTGCTATCTTTTCATGCTCACCTCCCTGTTCCTAGATGCCTACAAGGTTAAATTCCGTTCACAGAAAGCTGCATTGTGCGCTTACAAGTTATGCTTTCTCAGATTGTGTCAGTGGCCTACGTTTTCTGTGAGGGGCCTTTGTGTGGCAGAATGAGCAATGCGCGCGCAAGGCCATGATCAAAGGACCTGCTCTGTGACAGGCTTTACTCCTAGGGAGCTGACTACGCTGCAGGCTCTGCAATATAAGTTTTATACTGCAGAGCCCAGAGTGTAGCCATGGAACCACTAAGATTTTAACCTGCTTTTTAACATCCCTAGTCAGGACTTGGGGACCAGATGTGCTGTGTATTGTATAAACACATAAAATGAAAAATAATATGTGACCTGAAGATCTTGCAACATAAGATCCCATCCTGCACTGAAATCCATGTGGGTGCAGAGAGATTTGGAGCCCAATTATTAGGTGATACATAGCAGGGAGATAGAGCAAACTGACTGGGGGAGATGAAGGCAAAAGTAAGACAATTATGATCAGTCTAATATAGAACATGCTACACCTGTGTGTATCCCAAGTACTGTAGGAAACCTCTTCTTTGGACACCACAGCCCACTTTTTGGGTTACAATGGCCAGCTGCTGGTCCATTGGCAGAGCATGATTCAGGGCATTTTTTAGAAAATGAGTGAATTATGACTAAAATTTTAAACTGATAAATGACTGCTCTTTACAGTTTGAAAGGTGCATGTTGGCTGATGCTCTCAGAAGTCTCTCTATTCTTTAGTTTTAAAAAATAAGACCTGTAGCTAAGTTGTAAACTGGGTGTATGGGGTGGTATCTTTTAGTAATACTGAGAGCTGTAATCAAAAGTTTGGTTTCAAGTGGGTTACAAACTCTGCCAACTTCCCTGGCAGAGCTTTTAAGCTATACCAGTTTTGTAGGTATGGCTTTTCCCCATTTTTCTTTCTTTTATTTTTCTAAAACAGGGAAAATAAAATATAAATCTGAATGTACGTTCTCATATTTCTATATCCAATATATATTTATATTTTTCTAGCAATGAGACAACAATCATATACATATTTCTAAGATAATCTCATTGATAGGTTTCTGTATGATGAACAAAAAGATGTGCTTTTTAAGAGACTTGGCAGAACTTGAAGTTAATGGTTTGTTTTTTTTGGGGGGGGCACCAGGGTGTGCTTGTTGGCTAGCTTCTGCCATATCAGTTTGGAATGTGTGAAGCTCAGTTTCTGCAAGGATATCACTCTGGATGCAATTAAAAAACTCTGCAAAAACTGTAAAAGGTAAGATCTACATCTTTACACAGATAAAAAACTCAGCTATCTTGTCAGTGCATGGCTAAAATGCTAAGCTATTCTATCAGACATAGACTTTGATCCTGATTAAATTAATGGGGAATTTAGAGCCAACTGTACATTGTTTATATATGTTTTTCATTCATAAGCTGTGCTGTTAAGGTATCTGTAGTCAAATGTTTATATGCCTTTTTAAGTGGCTTTTAAAAACTGTAGTGGTTGATGTAACTCTTAATGACTTTTCATGCAGTACTTCAGGTATCTACTTTTATTTACAGTGTTTTAACACTGATAAGTGAAACGTGAGCTGCAGAAAATAAGCCTGTATTTTATTTTTAAATTGGCATTGTTATACCTGAAAACAGTCAGAATAAAGTGCAGGTGACCCAGCTTTCTGACTGTAAACCTGAGCTGATAGAATTAACTATGGAAATACAGAAGGAAGTGATACCAATCTTTATACCACTGGTTAAAGAAAGTAAGAACAGTGTTGTGCTTATTGGCTGTGTCTACATTGGCAAAATTTTGCCGCTCGTCTACACTGGCTGCAAGTATTTGTACAATAACACTGACGTTGTAATGTACAAAATCAGTGCTTCTTGTGCAAATACTCTGACACTCCCGCTCAGGGATAAGACCTCTTGCACAAGTGTTCTTGCGCAAGAGGCCAGTGTAGACAAGTAACATCAATTTCTTGTGCAAGAAAGCCTGATGGCTAAAATGGCCATCGGAGCTTTCTTGCGCAAGAGACGTCTACACTTGCATGGATCCTTTTGCGCAAAGGCATGTGCCACTATAGACGCTCTCTTGCACAAATACTTTTAACAGAAAAACTCTTCCGTTAAAAGTATTTGTGCAAAATCATGTCAGTGTAGACGCAGCCCATTGTGTATAATGGAAATGTGACACATGGAGATGGTGATAGTCACTGTAGAATTTGAGTATATCCTTAAAGTTGGACTGCTGTTGTAAGTAATCTCTGTATTAAAAACATATACCTTTCATGAGTTACTAATCATGATCAAAATATAACCCTGATCCTGCAGTGAGATATACTCAGGTAGGTACCTGTGCATGCAGGGATCTCAGGCTCCAAATGGCCCATGAACTGTGCCAAATCCTGGCAGCTGAGGAACACTGGACAGTCAGCAACTTTTCTCCCTAGCTGGCCAGTGGGATCCAGGGACTCAAACGGAGAGGAACTATCTATTGTCCCTTGGCAAGTGTCTCCCTCCTTTTGTATTAGGACTGTTCCCCTTTCAGTGCCTGCCCCATCAATGTTCCCCAGGGCTGTGTCTACACTGGCATGAATTTCCGGAAATGCTTAAAACGGAATACTATTCCATTTTCAGTTTTTCCGGAAAAAGAGCGTCTACATTGGCAGGCTGCTTTTCCGGAAAAGCCCTTTTTCCGGAAAAGCGTCTGTGGCCAATGTAGACGCGCTTTTCCGGAAAAGAGCCCCGATCGCCATTTTTGCGATCGGGGCTTTTTTCCGGAAAAGACTACTGGGCTGTCTACACTGGCCCTTTTCCGGAACAGTGTTCCGGAATAAGGACTTATGCCCGAGCGGGAGCAGAATAGTTTTTCCGGAATAGCGGCTGATTTTGTACAGTAGAGCATCGTTGCTTTTCCGGAAATTCAAGGGGCCAGTGTAGACAGCTCGCAGCTTATTCCGGAAAAGCGGCTGATTTTCCGGAATAAGTGGCCCAGTGTAGACACAGCCCAGATGTTGCTGTGTGTGGGTGTGTGACAGGGCGCTTGCCCTGCACTGGCCCTTTAAGGGCAAACCCCAGCCTGGAGCAGGACCTGGGAATTTAACCCCAGCTGATGCTGCATTAGTTGATGAGGGCCCAGCTGGGAGCTATATAAGAGGATGGGTTGCTGCTCCTGGGGAGAGGAGTAAGAGCCTGGCTGCTGGGGGAGTAGGAGGTGCCCTAGAGGAAGAGCAGTGGAAGCCTGGCTGCTGGGGGAGTAGGAGGCTCCCTGGAGCAAGGGCAGTGCTGGGGAGGAAAGGCAGGGCTAGGGGAGCTCTGGCCAAACAAGCTCCCAGACTGCAGGGCCTGAAGCATGGCCTGCTGAAGAAACAACCTCCGGAAGGGGGGCTCAGATGGATGTGGGCACTGCTGGAGGGTAGCCTCCTGAAGAGGACACCGTGGCACGGAAGAAAGAGGGGAGACACCACCCGAAGGAAGGCACCTAGTCGGCCAGAAGGAGCTAATTCCTAGGGCAGGGGGTGCTGTGGTGGTGAGTGAACCTCCTCACAGGGTGGCACGTTGATTGCAGAATATTTGATGTAAGAGATAGAAAAATCAACTTGTCCCTTCTAATGGTGAGTTTTCAGAGCTGGCAGTTACAAAACCTGGGCTTGTACACTGAGTTGCTTTGCTATGGAAGCCATAGAGAACAGAATAAATGTGTCTCTATAAGGTCATATTTATGGTCACTTTTCTTACTAAATCCCTATTTTAAAATAAAAGGTTTATTTTAACATCAAAAACCAAACTCAGCTCTATGAGTGATTCACACTAACATTTTTTTGAGTTTTTCATATACATCAATTATAAATCCAGAGGGGCTGCTGTGATCATCTAATCAGACCTCTTGTATAACACGGGTTATACTAAATTAATTCCTGTGAGCATCAGAGTATGTCTCTGAGAAAACATCCAATCTTGATTTTTTTTTTGTCAATAACAACTCCTTACATGAAAATAATTGAATCTAATTTACTTTTACCAGATGGCAGGTTCCACTCTGCCATCAGATACCTAGGGAGATGCACTTGTGAAACTGAGTACTAAATTGGGGCTTTGGTGTTTACTTTTTGCTTTTTACATAGTTTGGAGGATATACCCAGACTTACCAATGTCACTTTCTGATTTTCATACACTACAAATTGTATTTGTTTAGGTTTCTAATAGTGCAGGGAGAAGGAGAATTATTCCGGTTCAAAAAGTTGTTTAAAATACATTTTACTAAATAAATTTAAAATAAAATTCAGATATTCTGATATCTTACTGAGCACCTTGTAATATTAGGGCCTGTAACCCTGCCCTCCCAATTACTATTCACTTTAACAAAACCTAATGTAAATGTTGGGAATCAGCTACTTGGAAGCATCCACTTAATATGTCCTTCTCCTGTCAGGCCTGGCATTGGAATATTGTTGTTAAATAAAATGTCATGAGGAAGACTACAAGGGCTCTTTAGTTAGTACTATCATTGAATATTCCACAGGTTCACAAACTACCTGATTAGGCAAGGGATTTTAAAAGGGATCAGTGCAGTATCATAGATTTATTCTACTTTTGCTGCCACGTACCCATCTCTTTTAGCTTCTGTATTTAATTCTGTTCCTCATGGTCTGCTTTCTCTTTTTCAGGCTGAAGTTGCTTCATCTTTATGGCTGCCGCTTCTTTCCTGACCTGGAGTCCATTAAAGAAACCAATAAAACAGTACAAGTGTATCATGACCTCTCTGTCCTACCTGCTAACATTTAATTGAACGAGCAACTCT